GAAGGCCCAGAAACTAGAAGGAACATGGTGTTATTAAGGAACTAAAAGACGCCCTCTATGATAGGAAATGAATATTGAGGAGCGTGGTAAAGAAAGATGGGGAAAGGCAGGCCAGATCATGGAAGGTTCTATAAGCCATAAAGAAGAGTTTGAAAAAGAACTAGGATCAGGGCTTTTGCTGAGAATGTGGGACAGACTTTGGAGTAGGGGCACTTTCATTTTTCAGTTCTTCCTTTTTTTTTCCCTATTGTTTTCTTCTCCTTTCTTCTAGAGGATTAGAAACCAGATTTAGTCTATATGCCCTGCCACTGAGGTCTCAGTCAATTAATGTTAACTTGAACTTTCATTTGCAATAGGTCTAAACATATCTCTACTTAAAATAACTAAGAATAATATTGTAATTTGGAATGAAAATGGTAGATAAATTTTATAATTACATGTAATCTTTGGTCACAGAAACATTCAAATTGATTACTGGTCAAATTAGAATATTTTCCATTCAAGATACTAAATCCCTTAATGACATTAAGTCAAAGGTAGCAGCTGTTTTTACTTAACATTCATTTGAAATATTCCTTTGGACATGACTTTCTATATTTCCCAAGGAACTAATGAAATTGACTTCTTGAGTAAATCAAAAGATTAGTAGCATATGTGAAAATTTGCACATCATAATTAATTACAAATGGTGACCTTCATCTTGAACTCATTTTCCACCATACGGGAAAAATCTTGAATTTGTGTAGGAGCTAAAAATACTTAATTGTAGCACCTATTGAAAGTAAACTAATGATATATTTTAGATAGCTAATCCAGAAGTCTAGATTCTAAGTAGAAATGAGAGAAAATAACATAAAAATTTATGAATATGTCATGGTGAATTACCAAAAAAGATATTTTTCATCTAGTTTACAGTGAAACAAGATCTTTTTACATACTCATCCAGCTAACATTTCTTTATTTAACAAACATGTACTAAGTACAAATTATATAACAGGCTATAGTCTTTCGTCTCCTAGTCTCATGTTTAACATTTAATACAGTTTTTTAATAATATCATATCTATTCAGATTTCTCCTTAAAAATGTTTTATGTATTTTACCTACAATAGAATTCAGCTAGTTTCTTAGGAGTAACATTCTTTAGTCTAAACTTTGAAACTATTTAAAAAATCGTTTAGTAAGGTTGCTTAAATAATTATTAACCTTGCTTAAATAATTATCTTGTGCTCCTTTCACTATAACATGTGTTTCTTAATCAAAAATAATAACAAACATCACCATTTACTATGTGCCAAGCACTATTCTAAGTACTTGTCACATTTTAACACTTTTCATTCCTCACATCAAAATTAAATAGCTGTGAAATAGCTGTAGATTGTCCATATATTACAGATGAGCATACTGAAGTACAGAAAAATTAAATAATTTGCATAGGCTTACAGAGCTGCTAAGTGGCAAAATCAAACCAGGCAGTGTGTTTCCAGGGTCTGTGTACCTAACCACTAAACTTTGCTGAACATGTAACAGTAGTTTTCTATTTTGGATATGCATTTAGAATCACCCATGGAAATCTTTAAAAACAGTACTACTGCCTGACTTCAACCTAGGCCTAGAGAATCAGAAACTACGGGTGGGTCTTAGGCATCTAAGTTTTTTAGAAAAGGATTGCTGTAACAACTTTGCTAGAACCCAGTATAATTTTAAAACATCCATTAATTGTACCTTTGAAATTGAATTAAAATAGATGGTTTGGATTTGTTCAATTTATTTGAATTTATTTTTTTCATTGATGACTCTAAAATGGGAAATAGCAACTGAAAAAAGAAACATTTAGCTGTGAAACCATTATAAATATAGTTATATGATTTTTATTTGCTTGTTATAGTGACTTTAATTTTACTAGTATCTAATTAGTAGAGGAGTATTAATGTATGTAAATTTTCTTTTGTAGTACTTGGAATTATTTATTCCACGTTGACGTGATAGCAAAAGTATAAGAGACTCTTTAGATTTGGAACTATTTTATTTATTTATAATTTTTTATTTTAGTGCCTGTGTCTTCAATGCTTTCTTAAATTGTTTTTAAAATTGGGTAAAATTTAGCTGCTATGAAATCCGTAGATCTTAAATATACATAGTTCAGTGGATTTTCACATGTATATCCCCATGTAACCACCACCCCAAACAAAATATAGAACATTTCTGTCACCCCAGAAAGTTCCTTTATGCCATTTACCAGCCAGTCTCCATATGCAAGCCACTGCTTTGATTTCCATCCCATTAACTTGCCTTTGCCAATATTTGAACTTCATATAAAATCATGATACATACTCTTTTATAGGTAGCTTCTTCTCCTCAACAAAATATTTTTGTGATTTTCATTGTATTTGATGAATGTATCTGTATAGTTCATTCTTTTTAATCAATTAGTTATATTCACTTGTATAAATATATAGTCATTTGCTGCCTAACAATAGGAATATGTTCTGAGAAATGCATTGTTAAGTGATTTCGTTATGCGAACATCATAACATATAGTTACACAAACCTAGGTGGTATAACGTGCTACACACTTGGGCTATATGGGTATAGCCTGTTGCTCCTAGGCTACAAACTTGTGCAGCATTTCACTGTACTGATTACTGTAGGCAATTGTAAATGATATTTGTGTATCTAGACATATATAAACTTAGGAAAAGTACAGTAAAAATACTGTATAAAAGATATAAAACAGTATACCTGTATAGGGCACTTACCATAATGAATAGAGCTCTGGGTGGGTCAGTGAATGAATGTGAAGGCCTAGGACATTACACTACTGCAGACTTTATAAACACTACACTCAGGCTACACTAAATTTATAAAACATGAGAGTAAGTCAAGCACAAGAGAAAATGATGCAGTCAAGTGATGAAGTAAACAAGATGTATGGGGCTGCTGTTTGCGTAACATGGCTTACAGCAAACTTGTTAAGTAGAAAATACACTCTAACAAAAGTATACTCTAGTTAAAGTACACAAATCAGTAATATAGTCATTTATAATTATCAAATTTGTATACCGCACTTAGTTTTATGTTCTGTACTTCTGTGTGACTAGCAGTGCCATAGGTTGGTTTATGCTGGCATCACCACAAACATGTGAGTAACGTGTTGAGCTTTGACGCTACAACAGCAACTGTGTCCCTAGACAATAGGAATTTTTTAGCTTCATATAACTTTATGGGACCACTGTCAGATATGCTGTCCCTTGTTAACCAAAATGTCATCATGCAATACCTGACTACCACAGTTTGTTTATTCAGTCTTCAGCTGATAGACCTTTGGTTGTTTCCAGTTTGGGGTTATTATAAATAAAACTGTTGTTCCCAAATATTTGTTTTTTTCCTAAAATACCTTGTTTTTGATTTCTAATTTTGTTGTGGATACGGAAAATACTATGTTAGATTTCAATTTTTTGAAATTTGAGAGTTAAGCCGAGCATTTGGTTAATCTTGATAAATGTTCCATATACACCTAAAAAGAATCCAAATTCTGCAGTTATTATATGTGGTGTTCCAAAATGTCAACGAAATCAAGGTAGTTGATAGTACTATTAAAATCTTCTATAGCTTTACTGATTTTTATTTTTTGGTCTAATTCTGTCAGTTACTGACAGAGGGGTATTAGAGTCTCCAAGAATGATTCTGGATTTCTCCCTTTTAGGTCTGTAAAGTCTTGAGGTAATTTGAAGCTCTGTTATTAGATGCATAAACATTTGTGATTGTTATACCTTCCTAATGACCCCTTTTGTCTTCATAAAATATTCCTCTTTGTGGTATTATGTCTTGTTCTGAAATTTATTTCATCTTACATTACTATAACTATTCTGACTTTCTATTATCATTTGCATGATGTATCTTTTCCATTTTTTTACTTTCAAAATATGTGTGTCATATTTAAAGTGTAACTCTTGTGAACATATATAGCTGAATTTTGCTTTTTAAAATTCAGTCTGACAGTCTGCCTTTTAATTGGAATACTTTGTGTAATGTAATAACTGATGTGGTTAGGTTTAGGTCTGCCATTTTCTTTTTTGTTTTCTGTTCATTCCATTTCTGTTTTGTTCCTGTTTCTCCTTTTTTGGGAGGGAGCCTTCTTTAGTGTTAAAAGAATATAATTCGATATTTAATTTTAATTTCTTTTTTGGTTTTGCATTATGTTTTGCTTTGGGGAATATTTTATTCATCCTTAATTTATCATAATTAGAGTTAATAGTGTATCATTTTACATAAAATCTAAAACCTGAAAGTATAATTCCATTTACCACCCTTGTCCTTTATACAATTGGTTTAGTATATTTTATATTTGCATACAATATAAACCTCATTTTATAATTTTTTTTTTAAATTTAAAGTTATCTTTCAAAAAATAAGATAATTTTTTAAAAGATTATTTTTTCTGTTTACCTACATAGTTACCATTTCTGGTGCTCCTCATTTATTCCTATAGATCTGAGTGTCTATTCAGTGTCATTCCTTAACAGTGTAATGATGCAATGAAAACAGATTCTCAGCTTTCCTTTATTTGAAAATGCTATTTTATCTTCATTTTGTGGTGGTGTTCCTTTTTTGTATTCTTTTTTCGTTTTTCTCTGACTGTTTTCAGGACATCTTTATCTTTGATTTTCAGCATTTTTTTAATGTCTTTTCTTTTCTCCGACTGCTTTCAAGATTTTATCTTTATTTTATCTAGGATTCCAGTTACATATATGTTAGGTGTTTTTTCAATCTTCATTTTTTTCTCTGTTCAGATTGGATAATTTCTATTGATCTATATTGTATTTTACTGACTCTTTCTTTTGCCATCTGTGATCTGCTGTTAAACCTATCTAGTGAATTTTTTGTTTCATATATTGTGTTTCTTCATTCTAAAACTTCCATTTCCATTTGGTTCTTTTTATAAATTCCCTTCTCCGTTGAGATTCCCCCTCCCGTTCTCTCATTATGATGATTTTTTAAGTCCTTAAATATTTATAAAAATCTATTTAAAAACAATTATTTTGCCATTTCCAACATCTGAGTTATCTTGAGGTTAGTTTCTACTGAGTACTTTTTATCTTGACCATGACTCACATTTTCCTGTTTTATTGAGTAATAACTTTTGATTGTATAATGGACATGTGGGTGATAAGTAGAAACTCTGGATTTTGTTCTGAAAAGTGTTGGGTTTTTCTGCCAGTCATTTAAACAATTGACAGATCATGAGCTTGTGGAAGCTTTGTTTTACACTTTGTTAGGGAGAGGCTATAAATTTTGCCTTTAGTCCTAAGGCAGCTTCCATAGTTATAGGACTGTTTTGTTTCTTACCCCTAAGATGCGGTCCTCCTTCAGTGTTATTTGAAAGCCCAAAGTGTTTACCACACCATCTAATTATGTGGAATTCAACTTCAAACTCTTTTCCCCCTGCAATGGACAGCTACTAAAATCTCTGTTTAGCTCATTTAGCCTCCTAGTGATTGTTTTTCTCTAAGTTCCCACACATAGGCTTGTCTCTCTCAATTTCCAGTTGTTTTGGAAGCAAGGAGTTCTGTGTTCTGATGACAGAAGCTAATAAGATTGCAGCTTTCTGACTGAGTTCTTGCCGCTCGTTCTTAATTCTGGGAACTGCTCTCTGGGTAAAGGCTTTATAAATGTGGATTTCTTTTTTCAAGGGTTGAATCCTTTCACATTAATGTGTACTTTTGATTGCTCTTCAATGCCTCTTTTAGACAGTTGGTTTCTATATTTCATTCAGTTTATCATAGTTATATATAGGAAGGTTAGTCCAATACACGCTCCTTCATTATTACCGGATCTGGAATGCCAGCTCTATTTTTTAATAAAATGTACTTCAGATGGTTAATATATTTGAGTATGATCTGATTAGTTTTGTTTCATCTCTATTCCTAGATATGAAGAGAGGGCTGCTAAAGACTTGGAACGATACAATAGGCAAATCAAGAGAGCCATTGACGAGGACTCACAAATATCATTAAAAGATGGCAGAAAAAAGATGAAGCACACCAGCTCATGGAATTTGGCACAGAAGCACAAGTTGAAAAGTTCATTATCTCATCAGCCAAAACTTGATGAGCTCTTTCAGTCCCAAATTGAAAAAAAAAAGAACCAAAGCATTAAAATAGTTAAAATTCCCTTTTCTATGGAAAACTTAAAGAAAAAGTTTGAGAAATATAAAAAATTTGAACTGGAGGAGGAAGACGAACTTTGCTTGATCCACAATCTCAAGTTTCCTGATGCATGGCTAATTACATCCAAAACAGAAGTTATGTTATTAAATCCATATAGGGTGGAAGAAGCCTTGCTATTTAAAAGACTTCTTGAGAATCATAAACTTCCTGCACAGCCACTAGAAAAGCCAATTATATTAACAGAGAGGTATGGTGAAGTAATATCTTTTTTTTTTTTTTACTTTAAAAACATTCATACTAGATTAGAAACAGAGTAAAAAGTCGAAAGTGTTTCCTAGTAGGGAAAAGTTGTTTTGATTTAAAGAAGTCTTTTTTAAAATTTGATTTCTGATCTTTAATGGAATTAATTGCTCAGTTTGTGTCTTTGCTTCCTCATGGTGGTATTCAACTTGTTTTTCTTTCTCCTGTATTTAAATGGAAATAAGGAGGATTGAATAGATTTAGATTCTACTTTCTCATAGGACTGCTTAATAGATGGTGCTGTATGCTTCATATTTCATCACAGCAAAAGGCACTTATCACTGGGTTCAGCCGCTGACAGCCTAACCTTCCACCTTGAAATTCCCTGTCACGTGGACATGGACTATAGACTAGTGGTTCCCAGATAGTAGGCGGTAGGGGAGGAAAGGGGAGGTAGATGGGATAAAGGGAGTCAAATATAGGGGGATAGGGGGAGGGAGAAGTGGGTAAAGGAGATCAAATATATATATGGTAGCCGAAGGAAACTGGACTTTGAGTGGTAAACACAATAGAATATTGTCAAAATATAATGTACACTCAAAAATTATATGATTGTATTAACCAGTGTTATCTCAATAAACTTAATTTAAAAAAAAAAATAATTTAAAAAAATTCCTTATCAACCTTTCCATCTAATGGTTTTATCCATTGATGTTACTGCCTGAGCTAATTTTATTATAGATTGTAAAATGGGCTGTTTCCTTTTCATATCCTATATAAGCAAATTATTTTTTGTAAAAATGAATGATAACTAACCTATTAATGTTTTCCTTTTTTTATACTTAATATTTCTTTTTTAGCCGACACATTTAGAAGAGAATTGTGTGTAACAAAGGAGATAAAAATCTGAAACTAAAAAGATAATTAGAATTTGTTCTCTAGGACACATCACTAAATAACTTTCAGAACGTCTAAGAATAAATCAAAAATCATTTGTAAAATGTATTAAAACCCTTGTGTTAAAGACCCTGTCAACAGAAGGAAAAAAATAGGACAATAAAACAGGAAAACATTTGTTAAAGCTTTTATAATTAAGGCCCCAGTAATCACAATATCTGAAATTCTGCACCTTTCATAGTATAAATTGGCTCAGGACAATGACAAAGGAAGAATCAGAAAAAGAATTAATGCAGCCTTAGGCTGTATTAAAATAGTGCAAATATCTGCTAGTACTTTTCTCTTTCTTCCCTTAAAAAAGATCTAGGGTGTATCTGAAATTTTCTGAAATGTGACATCTCCATCACAGCTAATAATGTAAGTTTTTCAAAACTGAGTATGGATGGGGTAATTATGGGTTGGGCTCAGTTTTCTTACCAGATTTCTAATGTGAGTTCTGTAGTTTATGTCTGAATGGTGTGATTTAGATACCTATAAAATACATAGTTAAGAGCTCAATAATAACAACAACGGCTAATGTTTATTGAGCACTTCCTTATGATAGGAACTTTGCTAAGCCCTCTGCTTTGATGATCTTTACAACCTTAAGAGAGATAGGTAATATCATTATCCATATTGTATTGATGAAGAAACTCAAACACAGAACTGTTAATTAATTTATCTAGGCTCATACAGCCAATAAATAAATGGTTGGTTCCAAAAGTCCAATCTAGACAGCAACTGTAGAGCCTGTACCATTTTTTGCTATTCTGTAACCACCACCACTACCACTGACTCTCAGATTGATTTTCTGAACGTCAGACCACACAGAGCATATCTGGTATGTAGACAAAGCTTTCCTCTCTGTGATGTCTGCTTTTACAGCCAATGGGGTCCTCTACCTTTCAGATGATAAACAAAAACATCATCTATTTATTTACTTTTTCAAGAAGTACAGGAAAAAGCTCATCATCTTGTACTAGAACATAGAACAGTGCCTTGCACACCTTAGACAGTATTTACCACTTGATAGACTCTCAAATATTCATTAACTGAATGAGAAAATGTTAACCACTCACATGTCATCCCAACAGACATTTACTATAATAACATGTTATGAGCACTACGACCAAGCCTAAAACCAGCGTGAAGGTTAGTTTGTGCCCAGATAATCTTTGGCTACCTCACAATTTTGCTTAAGACCTTTACCACTCAGAACCATTTCACATGCAAACATGCCAGATGTAGTCTGAAGGAAGCTTTCCCAACCTGTGAATTACCAAATGTATTAAGTTCCTGGGAGAAAACAATATATGCTTATCTTTTTATTATAGCAATTAAAAATTATGTATAATGGGGGGTGGCTTCATAGTGTAGTGGTTAGCACGTCTGCTTTACACGCAGAAGGTCCTGAGTTCGCCCCCCAGGTGGAGCCACAGACCATACCCCGGGTGCGCCAGGCCTTGAGTGCATACCACGAGCATGTGGGAGGAGACGCCCCACCTTCAGAGATCCAGTTCTTAAGGGGAAACAGCAACATCCATCGGTCAGGGGTGGAAGTCGCGGGGAGGGAGGGAATTAAAGGAGGAAAAAAATTAAAAAAATAAAAAATAAAAAATATGTAAAATGGACCATTTGAGTAACTTGACAATGTATTACTGTATCTGTTTAAAGATATATTTATTATTTATAAGTAAAGTTTTCATTTGTATTATCTAGAGAGGGCACTTTTAAATTTCATATATTGTTTTAAACACTCTAGAAGACAGAAACTTTCTTTTATAGTTATACTTCCTCCTTCTGTACTTTGTATGTAGTAGGTCTTCTATAAAATATTAACAAAAATAAAAAACAGTAAAATTTCTCATAGGGCTACTTATACCTTTGCATTTTGGTTACCCATAACACTTTTTAAAGGGCTGTTGGATCACTTTATTTTACATATTTAATAAATGAAAGGGCCATTATTTCTTTTTCAGTCTTTTTAATGGATCTCATTATTTAGAGATTTTATATAAAATGACAGCAGATGACCAAGGATACAGTGGATCAACTTACCTGTCCGATCCTCGTCTTACAGCAAACGGTTTCAAGATAAAATTAATACCAGGTATGACAATGTGGTTTAACTATTTCCTAACTTGGAAAAATAAGTCTTGTTCCAAGAGTTACATTTAAGTTTTATAATTTACAGATATCATAGTGTATTTTTGTCTCACAAAAGTACACTGTCAGCTTTGTAAAAAACAGTCATATTTCAAACAGGTCACGTCTGTCTGAAATAAGTAAGTTTGGCATCTCTTTCAGTCCATTGCCTTGTATTTGCATTTTCAGAAACTAATCAAATAGTTGTAAGTTTTGCCATCCTTTGTCATAATATTCAAACTGCCTGTTTTGTTTAACTGTTATTAAATAATCCTTTAGATGAAATAGAAGTAAATATTCAGCTTACAGGAACGGCCTATCAAAACTGGACATCTTTCCTTTTTAAAAAGCATTTAGTAGTTTTGCCAACTAGATGTGTAACATCAACAGTCTTACTATTTGGTCAGTGGATGAGTTGATCATATGGCTTTGCTAAAAGACTGAGAAATCACTATTTGCTTGGTATGTAAATTTATTGGGTGGTGACAAAAAAAAATAATCCATCTGTCTGGGAGACTTCATTTTTCCCTGCTGGCCCTTTTTATTTCATAGTTTCCATATTTAACTGCCTTCTGCCCCAGCTTCCTAGGCTGGTCTTGTCCTTTTACTTTCCCTTCACCTGGTATAAAGGGTGAAGATTGATTCTACTGTCACCCTTTCCCACCCACTCCGAGACTTGTCATGACCAAAGTATTAAAAAATGGAAATTCAACCAAAACAGTGTTGATTTTTAAAAAAATGTTTTAGTGAGACTTCCAAAGAAAATAGTAAAAGCAATGTATAAAACCATGAAATTAAATATATTCTAAAAATGCTTTGGTATTCTAAACATTAATTTTACTTGACTTTTTCAGTTTTAAGAATACTTACCCTAAAATTCTTACCTTCTACTTCAATCTTGAATATTTAGATTTGGAGTGAAGAGCAAGTAAATCCCAACTCTTCCATTTAAAAACAATGTGCTTTTTGGAAAGTTAGTTAGCCTAAATGTTTCTTCATTAAGTAACTGATAATTACTTAATATTATGTGTAGGACATTGTTCTTAATAATAAATGTATTAATTCATTAATCTTCCTAAGAGCCCTATGAAGTAGGTTCTATTACTGTCCCCATTTTATAGATGGACAAATAGAGGTGCAGAGATGTTAACCCTTTCCTCATTTGCCTTGAGAATACTCGCCGGAGGCATTTACCCCAGGATAACTCACGGAGCACCTGCGTATCACCATCCTAACCTTACCCCCAAAGTTTGCCATGAAGCAGCTCGCTTTTATTATTATTTTTGCATCAATCTAGTATATCGATAGTCTTTGGAAACAAATGACATCATTCTATTTATATCATTCTGTTTTTAATAGTTGGATCACTGAAAATATCAAATCCTAGAACACGTAGCATTCCTACGCGTGATGTTAAATGAACACTTGGCGGCGAGCTGCACTTTTTTTTTTCCTAAAGGAGAAAGGATGACGTCTGCTTAAGGGTACACAGTCGTAGACCAGGATTTGATCCCAAGCAATCTGTCTTTGGAGCCTACCTTTTAACAAATTTGTCATAATGCTTCCTTATTAAAATTGGGATCCATACTTCATGAAGTATTTGTGAGCACTAAACAAAGTACTTATGTAAATTAGTTAATATAGTACTTAGCAATGATAGGTATTCAAATATTCTCTTTTCTTCCCATCCTCTGGCACTCCTTTCTGACCTGAACTGACTTGTCATTTCCTTCAGTCCTCCTGGAAATCTTTCTTCCTCAGGGCCCCTGTCATTTTTTAAATTTATTTGCATTGCGAAACAAAGGGGTTGGTGTGGATCTGTGTATGTGTCTTTAGCAAGATTTTTTTTCTTAATCTATTTTCTAATTATATTGTATTGGTGGCAGGTACCATTTTTTCTTGGAAGATGTTATCATAGCAATTTTTATAGCAATATTTTTTAAGCTAAAGTAATTACCCTGTCTGTTCCAAAAACATGTTTAGTTTTGAGCTACCCAGTAAGTTTCTATCTGACAGATTCTGCCCTTAGATTGTAGATGGTGTTTTTTAAGTCCTATTGAATGCCAGTACTTTGCATGGCACCAAAGATGTAAAAATGAATAAGACACTCATCTGCAAACTGACTCGATTTGTTTGGAATTGACTTTACTTAGATTATCATCAGCATTATTTCTCTTGTCGATAACAGATCAAGTTAAAAACATGTTTTCTGTATTTTTCTAGCCTCTTTATTAATTTATAAGTCATGTTTCTTAAAGCCCATTTCTCTTAATTTTAGTGAGAGTTTTGTTTTATTGGACTTAACTTTGGATCAACAGTTTGCCAATTTTCACGAAACATCTTTGGATAAAAATAAAGGCTTTTAAAAGACAGGAAGAATACACCTACCTTTGAGGGAAAAGATTCTGAATGTTACCCTAAGAACTTTGCTTGTTATAATGGAAATAGCTTTTTGTTCCTCATCAATAAGAATTCCATATTTTAGGAAGTGAAAACTTGTCAAACTACTTATTAATTTGCAGTATTTCCCTGAAGATTGAGAAGCAGTTTACTGAATTTTATGGAAACATCTTGTAAAGTTTATTGTTACATAGTTCCAAATGTCTCTAAATTTTCCATGTTGAATTTTGCAAACACAGATTAAAATATTGCTCAATTTCCTCATCTGTTGCCAAATACTTTTTACCCATGTCCACAAGTAATTCTGTGAAATGCTTACAGTTTTCCAGGGCATTTGTAGTCAGTATTAGACTTTTCAATCTAATCATACTATAAAAGGTATAGAACCAGCAATAGTGACAAATCACTTGACTGATATTTTTGTAAATTTCTATATCTATATATATGTAAAAAGATGTGAACTAGAATATTCT